CTCTCTCTCTCTCTCTCTCTCTCTCTCTCTCTCTCTCTCTCTCTCTCTCTCTCTCTGTGCTTTATTTGGCTGTAGAGTTAAAAACTTCCAACTACCTCCGAAAAATTCCCGAAAATTTCCAGACATCAAAAACTTGCAAAGTCTGGGAAATTTTTCCGAAATTTTCCCGAAAATTTGCAGGGCTCGCAACCCTATCTTGCTGTCAGATTTGCTGCCCCTCCCTCACGCAACTCCTCTTGTCGCACTTTTCCAGGTTTCGGCCGCGGCGGCGCCGAGAGCTACGTGTACAACAAGTGAGCGGCGGTCCGGCGCCCAGTGGTGGCCCACCACACGGAACTCTTCCGACTGTACTCTTACATTCCCTGTTCGTTGTTAAATAAAGTGTTTGTGGTTGTAGATATTCCGCTCTGATGTGCCCCCCGCTCCCTTCCCGCACCGCGCGCACGTTTGTTGGGTTGCCTACCTGTGGGCGCGCGTGGCTCCACACTCTCTAGGGTACTCGGCCAGTTGTATCAATCTAAAATACGATTTTTCTACGGACTCTTAGTAATTACACACAGAAATACCCATCGAAACGCTTATTGGTCATTTTTTAGAAAGGTGCTTATAATAATTTTCCTCGAAATTTCAGTGGAGGGAAATTTCAGTGGAGAGATTTCCTGTGAACATGTCTGGACAAAAGCGATGCACTGTAGCCGTCTATTATTTTACTTCAAAACAGAATAAATATTTACGTCCAATGCTTTTAAGATGAGTGAAAGCTGCCCGCATTTTCAGACAAAAACACTTGGGTTTACCGTGAAAACTTATTTACCAAAAACACACCCTTAGTTGCTTACAAAGCCGTCTTCATGTTACGAAGAATTGAATAACAGGGCATAACTTTGCTATTTGGATTTATAAATCGAGCAGTCGTAATATTTATGCCCTAGTTGTCGCTGATGGAGACGGCCTGCGCGTTGTCCTGGATGAACTCGAGGAAGGCCGACACGCGAGTGAAGACGACGGGCTTGCCCTGGGTGCAGCCGCCCTGGCTGCCGTGTGACACGAGCGCCAGCAGGCGGTACTCCCTCCGCACCGTGATGATGGCCGGCCCGCCCGCGTCACCCTGCAGGACAGAACGGTCTAAACTAGTTGAACGGTCTAGACTAGTCGAACAGTCTAGACTAGTCTAACTTGTCCAAGAGTCTAAAACTGTCCACGAGTCTAAATCTGTTCACGAGTCTAAAACTGTCCAAAAGTCTTAAGCTGTCCAAGAGTCTACCGAGTCCATGTTTTCCACAGTGGAGTAGCATGTGACACTGAGAGAAGAAATAACCCCCGCTGTTCTGCTTGTGTCGCGTCGGCCCCTCACCGTGCAGGTGCTGGCCAGCTCCGTGGTGGCGCACAGCTTGGTGCCGATGATGCCGGTGCCGTACTCCGGGACGCATGCGCTCGTGTCCGCGAGGGTGATCTCGGCCACCTGCATCACGTTGCTGAGCTTGTCTGGAAGGAGGGTGTGCTTTTTGGGTTAGTTTGTGGTTTGATTTTTTTTCACCTGCTGGTATTTTCAATCAACCCACCGTCGTCGTTGACGCTGCCCCAGCCCGTCACGGTGGCGACCACGGTGGTGAGGTTGATGCCGGCATCGGCGTAGGTTGGCAGCTTGGCCCACTCCACCACATCTAGAGCAGGTTGTGGCATTTAGCTAACTAACGCGTCAACGCTACAATAAGAGAGCCGCTCTCTGAGAGCGATGGATTAACAGTGGTGGCGTTTTTTTTTACTTTCAACTCTCTGGAGGTTGAGGTTGTTGATGATGGCGATGTCGTTGTCCAGGTACTCGAGGTCGAAGTTCGGGTGGATGATGCGGTCGGCCGGTGTGGCGGTCATCGTCTGGATGTCCTTGTCCGTGTCGTCCAGCTTGTAGACACCCGCGCGAACCTCGATGTCACCACGAGCCCTGAGGGTAGGTGGGATTAAGGGTTGGAAGCCCTGGAAAGTTTTTGGAAAATTTCAGGGAAATTTCAGGGAAAAACGGAAACTTTTCGGGATAGAAAGGAAATTGCACAGATTTTGGAAGTTTTCCGTTTTCCGCGGAAATTTTCGGAAATTTTCTGGATAATTTTGGAAATTGCCAAGCCTACTAGTGGGATTATCGGGCCACTTATTTGAATTCATGGTGACAACCGTTCCTTGACAGTTTTCATCCCCACGCTGCGTAGCGCCTGCGGCGCGCTGGCTAGGCTAGGCCGACCCGCCCGGCGGTTGCGTGGAGCTGGCGGCCTACCCGGACCGGCGGCCGGGCCGCAGGGGTGGGCCGAAGGGGTCCACGATCGTTCTTTGACTCCAACGTCGCACTTTTGGTCGTTCGCAATGAAGAGTTTTTACGGATAATTTTGAAACTTTAAAATATTTCCAGAGAAATTTGAAACAACACATTAAAAATAAAACTTTTTAGAAAAAAATTGAGAGAAATCTTAAAAAAATTATTCAAAAAACTTTTTCGGAAAATTTAAATAACTAGTACAGGGGACTAAATTTAAACGCGACATTTTGGCAGCGTCAACTAAATTTTAAATGCACTGATTGAATAAATTTAGTCACGAGAATTTTCTCTTGATTGGTGCAGGCAGACATATTTTGGGCAATTCCAGAAAAGGGTGTTCGCCCGCCCGTCACGCGATATGTGGAGCGACTGAAAGGTGTCGTACTAAACATGACTGGACGCGTCTTGAGATGGGGAGTTGGGATATGTGTTGTACAACAACGAAGCGCCTATCAGTCGCTCACAAATCACGTGACGCGGACGGACGGTTTGGACCATTTCTCCTGGAGCACTCAATCTCGTTTCTTATGCGGGAATTATTAGGTAGCTGTAACTAGGTGTGTTTCTCTCTGTGCGAAGGTAAAAGTGTCTCGTTTTGATAAAGATATTGCCGTTTGTAAGTTCCAGTTCTGATAAAGCCCTCTAACAAAGCAACAGTACATCGGCCCACGCACCAGTCGACGCAGTTCGCCGTCGTGAGGATTGAGTTCATGCTGATGATGGCGCCGGAGCAGAAGAACTGGTTGTCGGCGAACAGCGCCACTTGGTAAGGGTGGTTCCCCTTCGTGGCGTCCTTGCCCCTGTGGATCCCCAGGCGGCCACTTCCTGCTCGCAGACGGGGAGGGGGGGGGGGGTGACTATCATCGTCGTCAATAACAACAAGGGAATCTCCGACGAAGTGCGGCACAAAAATTAATTATTGAAGGTTTGGTGATCTCAATGAAGTGTACTCACTGGTCACCACCTCCACGGGGGTGGAGGTCACGGCCACGGCCTGAGGAGGAGGCAGGAGGCACGACTTTAGGTTCAACTTTATCAATAACAAAGGGTCGTGGCTATAACCCGACACTCGGACCAAAAAACGACGCACGCTACACCAGAAACACAAGTGCGTGGGAATTTCGCCCACTTGTGCGAGTGTGAACGACATTCGTACACATGGAGACACATGTGCGTGAATTTTAAATGGAAATCCTTATTTGAAGTAAGTGTGTATACGAATGGGCATTCATAATTCATACACCTACAAGTGGGCGACATTAACACACTTGTGCGTTTCTAGTCTTGGAGAGGTGTGCGCGTTTTGGTGCGACCCTTAAAATGGTAAACGTCTTCTCACCGTGGCGAGGATGCAGACCGCGGCGCTCAGGATGTTCATGGCGACTGGTGACGACGAGCCGAGCAGCGCGCCGCGCTCACCGCGCCCAGAGCACTTGAGATGCCAGCGGCGTAGGGACAAAGAATGGGTGAGGAGGTAGAAGTTTATAGAAAGCTGTCTTGCCTCATCGACTCTCTGTCTCTCTCTGTCTCTCTCTGTCTCACTCTGTCTCTCTCTGTCTCTCTCTGTCTCTCTCTTTCTCTCTCTCTCTCTCTCTCTCTCTCTCCGTCGCTGAGTTCCTAAGGAGTAGATTATCAGATCTTTATCGGCAATTGCTGGGTTGATCGCGCCCTATCGACCTAGAAAATGCCGTTTCGCCGCGAC